CCGGCCGGTGCGCTGCCACTTCTGGCCCCATGTGGGGCTGGCGCCGGAGCAGCGGGGCTGGAGCAGCCCCCTGACAGCGTCTACCCTGCTCGTCACCCCGGCAGCATCCACCTGCCTCTGAGACGCACCAAGAAACACCCCGGCCTGCCCCAGTTCAACTGAACATTGAACCCGTTCACCAATTCAATGGGATTTCCCATCCCTGGGGCAGGAACCCCGCGGCGGTGGCTGTAAGTGTGTCTCTAGCCCGTGTCGGTGCCGTGCAGCACCCGCTACTGCTCCGACCGGCAGCTTGGTTTGGACTGAGCCCCGTGTTTCTTGTGGCATCATGCGATGCCGGGGGCATGTCTGTGCCATGTGCGTGGGCCATGGATTGTGTCCGTGCGACCGCTCTAGCAATGGTCTGGCCTACAGAACCAGCGGGAATCTTGCCATGGTCGTGGGGCGCAAAGAGGATCTGTTCCCTGGGATTAGCCCCAGCAGGTCGCTCGGGGCGAGGATCTGGCAGAGTCCGAAGAGTAAGACTTAGCCAGCCAGTCTGAAGTGGTGGAAGGAGCAGGACACCAGATCCTGCTGAGAAATGTATTGTCCACTATTCCAGTGTTACGCTAGTTACAGGCCTGGACTGGAGTTTCCACTGAGATCGCTGTGGCACCACAGCACCACCATTCCTTTTCGGGACGAATTATTTTATTAAATGTAACATTCAAGGCACAGAACCAGTTAGTCAAATATGACAGGCACTGAGCGGCCAGTGTGCAATGTATTGACAGGCAGCGTGTGCAATGCACAGCCCCAGAGGGTCTGCAGTGAAGTCAGAACATTCAAGGCACACCAAATATTTCATACAGACAAGCAGAATAAAACCCACAGTCAAAACCAGAGCAGCCAGCCAGCAAGGGATGCCCGGGGTCGGGCTCGGTACCGGTTTTCTCAGGTGTTACATTAGAGCTTTGAATTCCTGGAGGCACAGTCCCTGTGATTACGTCGGACATGCCCTGGATTTCCTGGATCAGAAATGCTTGGAAAGTGGGACTGGGCCCCTCCAAACATGAGGGAGTCCAGATTGGACCCAAACTTGAATGGAGGCCTGTCTTCCCTCTGGCTTTGTATGGGACCCACTGCTCCAAGTGGCTTGGATTCTGGAGAAGTTTAACAGTTGCTGTCCTGCCGGCCTCCGCAAAGACAGCAGCTTGGTCAGCTCTGGCAGGCAACATGTTGTGTTCACATGGTGCCGGAGATGCTGCCGGCCTGCGGGGTCGGAGGGGCAGGGCACCCACACATCAATAACGAGGTCAAAAAAGCAACGGCAGTTTAGCATTAGGTCTGAACAGACACCTCTGTGGAGTGGCAGTGGGGCTCTGGCTAACGACGCACAGGGGGAAGCTCTGAGATTTGTCACATTAATATTATCCAGAGAGAGGAAGCCGGAAGGAGGAGATAGCTGAAGAGTCAGGTAAGGATTCATGCTGAGTGTTGGAGGCTGCAGAGAAAAAAGCAACTAGTAGCAGAGCGAAATGACTGACACCACTTAAAAGGGCAAGAGAAGTGGAATGGCTAGACACATCACACACTAAATAGGAAACACATGGGAAATGCTGGTCAGAGAATGCTGGCACACAGCTGAGGTCTCTGAAAAAGAAAAAAAAGAGGAAACAGAAAACAAGATGGGAAGATAAAATTTCAAAGCAAGCACTAAATGGGTCGCAGTCCCGGCTAACAGGGAGCCGGGTGGTGAGTGTGCCCAGTAGCACATGGAGAACTGCCGCTGACCATTAACACCTTTTGCTGAGGCTCCCGGCACAGAACTTTAATCCTCTTCGGCACCGATCACTAGGGACTCCAATCCCATCAATTGCTATTTCTCCCCAGCAATCGTGCTCTGCAATTCGCAAAAACAAGTGGAGCCTTAACTGCCCCAACACCACTAACAAACCCTTGTTAATTATTTAGATTTGTAAATAAGAAATACCTGGGATTTAATAACGTGATCTTCATTAAAGCAGCCATCAGAGCCGCAGGGTTCCTAGCACAGCCGCTTCCTTCTCACTGGCTGCTTCCGGCACCACCTTTGCTTCCTCCAGCAGCAGCCCCTGTCCGCGGGCAGGCCGAGGGCCCAGACCCAGTCCCCTGCCTGCTGTCCTTTCCGTGGAACACGTCTCTTTGAAGAGCCAAGGCTGTTCAAAAAGGGAGACGGATGCAGGTGTTTCCGCGACTCGGCGCCGTTCCGGCCAGGCTCTCTGCAGGGCTCGGCGGGGCGTGCGGCGTTGTCTCCGGGGCTCCGGGGGGAGCCGTGTGCCGGGGACTGGAATGGCAGCGCACCTACAACAAAGAGCCTGGGAGAGCAAGTCCCGTGGCTACAGGGCAGATTTGCACAGGGCCCGCACTCGCTCCACAGGGTGCTGGGTTGTCCCAGCTGCCTGTGTGGGGAAAACGCGGCCTGGCTCCCACCTGTGAGCGCCACCGGTGGCAGACACTCAACGCATCCCAGGGACGGGGTGGCACACAGCGCCATGCAGGGGAGCCGGCGCCAGCCTCAGTCCACCTGGCGTATCCGTCAAAGGCCGCTGACGCCAAGTTTCTACCTGGTGGGCACTGCCAAAGCAATGCCCAGGACGCGGCGCAGGGGCCAGAGCGGGGCCCAGGGGCTCTCTGCCCGCTCCCCACTTCCTGTTTGACCTGAAAAATCAGGGACGGGGTGGCACACAGCGCCATGCAGGGGAGCCGGCGCCAGCCTCAGTCCACCTGGCGTATCCGTCAAAGGCCGCTGACGCCAAGTTTCTACCTGGTGGGCACTGCCAAAGCAATGCCCAGGACGCGGCGCAGGGGCCAGAGCGGGGCCCAGGGGCTCTCTGCCCGCTCCCCACTTCCTGTTTGACCTGAAAAATC